AAAGATAGATAGATAGATAGATACATAGATAGGTAGGTAGGTAGGTAGGTAGTCAGAGAAAGAGAGAGAGAGAAAGAGAGAGAAAGAGAGGAGACCTCAACGACTTTTCGGTCCATCAGTGGCTTCGCTCTGCCATCCCTGATTCACAACAACCAAGCTCTCCTATAGGTTTCCTATTTTTGAAACTTCCGCCACCTGCAGAAGCCACATCCGAGCGGTGAAGGTTCCGGCATCGAAGGATTGACACCACAGGAAAATCTGGCTTTGTCTGAGAATTCCTAAAATCACTAGTCTAGTATCATGGCTATACTATTTGGAAGATGATTACAATTTGGAAGCATATCATCAAGATTACAATGGCTATTTGGAGGTATAACCATGTATAGCCCATTTTCAGACACACCCCATGTCGGCAATGCCCCCTTGTCTGACATCAATAACTTGCGTCATTTCTTGGAATCATCCGTAGGGCATTAGCCTTTCCACCGATGTTCTCCACCAATGAGATAGAACTAATCAGTGCAAAAGGCCGGGGTCTGTGTCGCAAGATCTTTAAGTAGGCCGGGAGCGTCACACGCTTCGAATGAAAAATCACTGTGTTGGACTCAGACCTGCTCCGCTGAAGCGAGGAATAATCCCACCTGTAGGCTCAACATATCCTGCTCTACCAGCTGCAGTGCAGTGGAAGCCTTGGCCTTACTGGGAAGGTGTGCAGTATGGAGCTTTACCATCAAATTGATGTGGTTTTAACTGGCAAAAATTAATGAAGGCAAACTATGTCCACAATTAATCACAAATGGTGATAAAACATGATAAAACCAACCAAAGCTGGTGGTTTGACAGGTCAAAACGATATCGATGATTTAAATTTTCGAATGGGAATACCAAATGGAGATTGAACGGTGTCAACGGTGCAGATTGAACAATCAAAATTGGAGATGTTTCCCACCAAAGATGAATATTGAACATTATTTAACTGCACCATCTAACACCGAGCTTTCACCAACAAATAGGCATAGAACGATAGCAAACAATGGTGATTCAAGCAACTGAGGATGTAGCTGGCGACTGGGGGTCATTTTCAATCATCACTGGCATATGGGTACACTATGGTATACTGCGTATATAATAATAAATGGATATAAAATGGTACATACTTGGGGTTATTTCATTATAGAGCTTGCACGAGGAACTGATCCACATAATTCCAGGCACCCGGGCACGGTCGCGTGTCAAGCGCAACTGGGCCTGGCTCGACCGCACAAGACAAACGGGCGTGTTGTGTGTATAGTGTATAATCATTACGATAGATTCCGATAGATAAGAGGATTGAACTGTGACATTCCCTTAACTAAGTCTGAACAATGGCAGGAAATTAATGGAAATTGTATGCATACATGGCATCCATATGGAATGCTGATCCCGTTTGCTCCAGACGTCGTCCACGACGCGTAAGTTCGTTACGCGCCTCGGCTTTGTGCATCATCCTCTTGTCGAAGAAGTGGATTCCCAAATCATAGTTGCTTCCAATCGCCTGCAGCTGACTTTGAATATTCACCTCGAAAAATCACATCTTGAAGAGTTTGTTCCAGTGAACATTGACATCAAAAATTCAGATATCCTAAGATCACCAGTTTGATATCTCTGATAACTCAGCATGAACTCTGTCCGTATGTATCGCTATAGATCAAGGCCTCGGGAGATCGTTGCACGGCATCTTCCAATTTCTTCTGCCTCGGCAGCTTTCGTTGCACGGGGAAAGAACATCAACTGGACCCAAAGGGACCCATATATTCTAGCGCTGAAAAGGTGGGACCCCTGAAAAGATGCCATCTCTGAGCCACCCAGCTCGCCCTTGAACTCGGAGAAGACCTGGCTGTGGTGAGAACTTGGCATTGATGGAGCCAAGTTCCGGCCAGGGGGGGTTCAATGATTAACCCAGGGAGTTTGGGGGGTTCTCCCGAAATTTCCATAAATGTTCCGACAAATCCAGGACCGTCCAAACGTCTGTCATTCTGGCCATGGCTGAGCCATCCTTTTCCACGTGCAAGCCCTGGCACTTCATTGCGCCTGCATCATCAGCAGCAAGTTGTGTTCAGCACAACCTCTGGGGAGACCATGCTTCGCCAGTTCCTGCAATCCCCATTGTTTGGGTATGTTGCAGGTCGACCAGCTGGGATAGTCTACTTCAAGATCAAACAAAGGGTCTTCATTCTTCACAAGTCCCCAAGTTTGGATAAGTTTCGGACATATTCATATTCTGGTGATCCATCAAAAAGTGGCCAACCTGCTGTTTTCCACTCTCAAAACCAGATCTTCTCCCAATGAATAGCACCAACGGCGCGAAATGGATAGCCCGAACCCACGAAATGGGATTTGACAGTGACTTCATAGCTCCTTAGTTCCCCATTGCTCATAGATAATATCGATAGATTATGGTATGCATGTATATATATATATACAATATGAACACTACCATAGCTCCTAATCGCTCCCTCCATTCACCACTGAAGCTAGTTAAGATGGTTCTTTAATGTTATATATATACATATATATAAATATATACATAGAACTTTGATAGAACCATTATAGATAATGTCATGATATGTTATTAATCATAATATTATAGAACCATTATAGATAATGTTAGATAGATATGTTAATCTAATGTTATAGATAATGTTGTTGGTCATATCTGAAATCTCCAAATCTCTGTCTGGCGTCCAGCCGTCAATTTTTTCGGCTCCACTGGAATTCTGCCCACCTTGCAGGACTCTCTGGCCTCATCGATAGCTTGCCGAGCCTGGCGTCCAGAAAGAACTTGGTTTATGCCAGCCAAGGTTTCCCACTTTTAAGTGATAATTTACCCTCTGGTATATTAACATAGACCCTGGCAGTTGTCGGGGTTGGAAGACTAGTTTCCATTAAACATTGGTGATTTTCAGGGTCTATGTTAATTTACCAGGGGGTAACTGTTCTATCTTTTTTCCCCAGAGGTTAACAAAATACCAGAAGACTTCCCAAGGAACAGAACTACAAACCCCATGTTTCGTTGATAAAATCCGCATGTGTTTATTGTCAAAGCCCAATTTTCTTAGTTAAATCACCATCTTGGCTCGCCACAATACCGCTGGCACCTCACCCTTGTCCCAGTATCTGATACTCAGGTTGTAGTGTGCCAGAAACCTGGAAAGAGCGCACATGGAAACTCTCTGAATTATTGCTCAGCTTGGGAATCAGAAAAATGCGAGTCATCAAACATGTTATATAAGTAGACCTTGCAAAGAATCACCTAGTTTCTAGACCATATGAGTATTTGATGCCAAGTTTCAAAAAAACATATGAACAGGTAGAAATTACACTCTGAAGCCAACCCGGCCGGACGGCCCATCTCAGAAACGAGCCGCAGCACCTTCTCATCGGAATCTGCTTGGGCCCATCCACCAGGGCCTTCAAATGCGGCGTGCCAACGGCGTGCCCACAGATGGCTAAGACGACTTCATCGGTGTCACGTCTTGGGTCATGGCTGTGGTTGCAGAGAGCTAGATCAGCAATAGATTCTATAGATGCCTCTCTCTATATCTTTATATACTAATTATACTGTATACAGTGTATACACATAATATCAATTTATAATAATTTATATCAATTTATATAATTATATACAGTATATATATATTATATTATATATTATATATGTATGATCTGTGTATTACGTGTGTGGTGTGAACTTGTAACATCTTGTAACACCCTCTGGTGCCTGCAACTTTCGCAGGACCAGGCGGGCGGACTGCAACTGCTCCTGCAACTGGTGGAAGCTTGGTGGAATCCGATCGCCAGCAGTGCCACCACACCAAGCCCACCAGTCTTTACCATTGGTTGATGCATGGGAAACAAAGGAATAGCATGGAATAGCCGTATCTTATCCATATGATATGCATGTATTGAAAGAATCTTCAACATCGTAAGGTTGATTAGCATGTCTTGCTGTTAAAAGAAGGAGATGAAATGGGCGTCCCTCATTCCGTGAGGCATTCATTCCTGGCGAAAGTTGGTCCAATGATGCTTGGTTGATGCTGGAAAAGTGGCTTATGATGGTTCTAGTCTGCAAATATCTAAATATCGTGTTCCCAAATTCGATGATTTATCATGTTCTCTATCAAAATGACCATAACTTGGGGGTATGTCATGTCATACTGTGTCAATTTTCAGACACACGCATATGCATATGCCACTGAGGGATTACGAGGAAATTCTTGACCAGTTACTCACTTTGATCATCCAGCTGGTGTTTCCATGCTTCCAACTGTCCCAGTTTCCGATGGATCATTATAACCACCGCAGCAACCCAAAAAAAATGTGTATCCTAAGGGATCCATAGAGCACATCTATGGTTCCTCTATGTTCCTCTACTTTTGAGCGGTTGCACCTTCGTTTCCACATCTCTAGGCCGGAGGCGCGCCGCCTCTGCAAAAAAATGGTCATTGGTTTGGCTTAAGGGAAAAAGAGTGGGTGGCTTCTCTTCACTTTTAAGTGAGAAATGGATTTATATCGGTGGTTTTGAGATGTTTCAAGATGTTTAAAGGGAAACTTTCGTGGCCCAAAAAGCCACTTAAGACATCTTAAGACCATGCTGTGAGTGGATTTACATCAAGAACTACCAGCTATTCTGGCTTAACAATATCTGGTTGGTGGTTTCAACCCCTCTGAAAAATATGAGTTCGTCAGTTGGGATGATTATTCCCAATATATGGAAAGTCATTCAAAATTCCATGGTTCCAGTCACCACCAACCAGATATGGTAGTCGATATGTCAGACCCTGCCCATTTTGGGAACATGGCATTGGTGGTTTGGGAAATGCCTGAGGAACTCGGGGCCAAAAATGACCACGGGAAAAATGGGGAGAGGTCTGCAACTGTGAAAAAAATCCTGCTAGACTTTGGATAGCATCATGGTCACCACGTTTTTTGGCTGAAAAGTATACAAGTCCATTAGCAAGTCCAGTAGCCCAGTACTGTTCAATTGAAGAACTATGCTACTATAGTACTGGGTTATTTGAGGATATAGAATACTATAGTATACTAAGTATCATGGTTCAATTTGAAGATTCATTGAACCCAAGAACGATGAAGAACCACTCGATCTGACCAAAGTTGAGGAGAGCAATGAAGACATTCCATCAATTCATCAGGACAGGCAACCAAGAATAACTCCATCTGCATGCTGGAGTCTGGATAAGTTACAATAGCATAAGATCCCAGATTCAATGCTGGACTTGTTCCGTGTTTTTTGCCAAGATTCCACCAAAGTGAATTCTGATTATATATATATATATATGTATACGTACATGTGTATACATAAATATATATATATATCAATATATAGATATATATATATATACATACAATTTCAGCATATAATATATTCCAACTGATTCCAAAAATGAAACCAACTTTCTCCTGAAAGAAATCCTCATCACTCAACTTTTCGGCTTCGATCGGCTTCGGTCCCAGTCGTCACCTCCTTGTACTCCCGCAAGGCCAGGCGCTGCTGTGCCACTGCACTACGGATCTGGCCAGGAGTTGGTGGCCCGAATGGGGGATTGGCCATTGGAAAAACCATGGGACAAAAAATGGTTCAACTGATGTTGATGATATAGTGATCAAAATTATAGTATGATTTAACACAAGAACTGATGTGTTTAAAAGTGGTTTAACAAAACAACATGGAAATTAGTCTGAATTAATGTGAAGAAGAATCGGGATTCAAAGAAGAAAATATTGGATAATTGAACCACCAACAAACATCTGTTTACGAACAAAATATTGGCACAGGTGGTTTCATGAACCACACTTAGGATTTAGCCGAGACTGGTGACATTGTCGGGGTTTCACGAAGAAATGATGAGAATGGAACAAGCCGCTTGCATACCGGGCTGGGAAAAACATCCTCTGACCTAAAAATTATGAGCCACGTGCCTTGCTCGCCGAAGTGCATCGAAGTTTCTCGTCTCCTAAGACTGAGAAAACCCATGGGACAAAGCAAGGTGAGCAGTGTATACTTCACCTGTCATCCCTTCTACCTAGTGAGTTGAGAGCGGGATTCTAAGACTCTAAGTTGATGATGATGATTGTTAATGTTGAGGGTATTCAGTGTGAAATAAATCCCTCTATCATTCCATGATACTGGTTGGTTGATAGGGATTCCCCTATTGGATTATTATAATGCCCAATCTATTGGATAGTATATTTGATTCAACTGATCCATGATATATTCAATCAGCATCAATCAGCACAACCATCCAAGTCTTGGACCCAGGGGGCCATTTTTGGGGTTTTCTGGATAGGCCGGGAACCAAAGCTCCATGGAAAATCTGCGGAAACGACACATCTGAGACCTTTCCGGGCTCATCAAACACTGGAAAATCCACCATCTTCCTGCATTTTCCCATGATTTGCCCATGACGTTCTGAAAAATTCCCTCTGGTAATGTTAAGTGAAAACAGAAAACGATGGAACATCACCATGCTATCTAGCTGGGAAAACTCACTATTTCGACTGATTTCGACTGGGCCATGTGCAATAGCTATTTTGACATATTTTGACATAACCAGAGGGTAAAGCCCAGCGAATCCACCATTTTTCATGATTTTCCAGCCAGAGCTGATGCCTCCAGAGGTGACCGGGAAACAATTTTAGCCTCGCTCCTTGCAGGCTCTGCAGCGTTGCTGTTCTTTGCTGATCCTCCTGCAGAATCAAGGCTAGAAATCTGATTCTCTGGGCCGGTCTGTTACCATGTACGATTATTATAATCGATTATATATATATATATGTAAATAATCTATGAATCTATGTATATATATATATATTATATTATATATATATATATATTATATGTGTGTGTGTGACTGTGGTGTGTGACTGTGTGTGTGGGCAGTTTGTCATAGTTTGTCGATTACTATGGGGGGGTCACCTTACCTCTTGGTCAACTCAAGAGACACAAAATATCAAAGAGTCATCTGTGGTTGCCTCTAGGTGATGCCAAGCTAGCAATTTACTGGTTAATAATATGGTAATGATGATGGCTATATGGCTAATCATATATGGTAAATGATGGTTAATAATATATGGTTAATATATGGTTAATATATGGTAATGTGTGTCAAAACCAATAGTACCCCTTTTTTGTTCACATCAAAATAGCTGGGATTTATGGATGTGAATAACCCCCTAAAAAGGGAATTAATAGGTATTGATCCATACCCATATGAAGTCTCCGCAACAAGGGCCGCAACTTGTTGCCAACATCTACCCCCCAGAATCCCAAAAAATCGAATTGATCAAGTCGGCCAAGTCTAGCAGGTCCGGTCCTTGTTCAGAAGATAAAAAACATTGCTTTCATGCTTGCTCGCTTCCTTCTTGTGCCTGGTGATTTTCTTCCAGGATCAGACCAAGGCTGTCATAATTGTCATAGAAAGCCAATGCCATTGACTGTTTCTGTCCCAAATAGCACAATGGGCCAATGGGTCTTATCTGCCCCAAAACCCGTAGAATCAAGATGATCTGTCTCAAAACCGGTAGAATCAAGATGAACTTGGAAAATCACAAGGCCACAATCCGAATCAAGCTATAGTGAGCGTGCCTGAACATGTAAATACAAAAAAAAACAGTTGATGGTTGAGACAAAGATTTCAAAAAAAAAACATATCTTGGGGGCCCCTCGAGATCGCGTCACCAGCACCTCTCAAAGCTTGCATGGGTCGACATGGCTCGCTCTGCTCTGAAAGCACCAAGGGAATCCTCGTGTTTCATGGAGATTCAGATTCAGACAGGACTGTTGTATGTCATCAGTGATACTGAGAATGACTTAATGCATCTTTCTATAATTGGAAAGAATACCAGTGTTGACCTTGCACAGAATTCCCCGCATGCTGTTCTGAATGCTCCAAATGAAATATCCGAGGGCACTTTTCTCGTACCAAATGGCATTTTGCAAGTCCGCAAATTCACTGCTGGCAAAGCACAGGAACGCATTCAATTCAAATCAATCCATGCGAACCACGTTTTCTTGTCACATCATGATAACTATAATAATTCCTAATGAAAGAAAACCAGTATTTAATCTATGGTGAATTTGGAATAAGTATGATATTCCAATCATATTGTGTATGAATTCCATCATGGATATTCCAAATTCCAATAAAATCTCTGGTGAATTTGGATATTTTAGGATGGATCCCCATTACTTTCGCATCTTTTTCTTGATACCACAGCCTTCCAAACCGTCCCTGTGATCCCAACCCGATGCTTGAGACGTCACGTCAATCCATGCAGATTCTCTGATGAATTTAGGACAATCTGATATGGTAATATCATGATCATGGTAATATCTAAATAATATCTCTGGTAATATCATGGTAATATTATTAATATTTAGATATTATTTAGATCTTACCATAGATACTACCATATCAGTTTTTTGTTTATCAATATGACGAACTATTGACCAACTATTTATCTAGTATTGTGATATACCCAGATTAAATGAATAGGCAACAATATTGACCACCCTAATTACTCTGTTCCCTTTGCAAAATGTTTCAGTCCAGCTGTAGATCATATTTGAAATCGTCTCAAGGACATGAAGAGTATCAGAAACGTCATGGCAAAATCATTTTCTGGTTGGAAAGCTCCGATTCAAAGCTTCGATTCGCAAGGATCTGCAGGGATTCTGCTTCTCAAGTTGCTTGCAAGTGAACTACCAAAGCTGTTAGTCAACTTCATTTCAAGCGTTCTACGTCGTTCTTGTTGGATTTGGGGTGCCAAAATGTCCCCCGGCACAGGTGGCACAGCCACTTTTTCTCCAACTGGCGCTACATCGTTGGCAAAGGTAGCCTGCACAGTCGCGGGACACTCTGAAATTTCGAGCGTTTCAAATGTTTCAAGCGTCCACTTCATTTGGGCAGCAACGTATTGGGAGGCTATGCATCACCTAAACCATCCTAAACCACCCATTGGCTGAAGATCCCAACATTCAATGGATTGGTTTAAGGGAAAACTGGAACCGGAAAGCCCCATATTTAATGGGAAAATCTATGGTTTCCTGCAAAATTTTCCTTAAACCAATCCAATCAAACATAGATTGTTTTGTTCATGTTTGATTTTTTCCGGCTGTTCATCAGTAATCAGGGCAGCTTCATATCACTCATATCATCTGTTTGAGCGAAGAAGCTGGGTGTGAATGGAAACCCTTCAGATCCACCATACGGACATGTCCAAATCATTTGAGGGATGAAAATACCCATTAAGATGACCCATGATGACACTACATTCATCACCAACTCTTAGTTTAAAAACCATAAATCTATGCTGGGAATAGCCATATGAATTAATTTATACATTCATACATTCACCATTACATTTATCATACATTTACCATTTTCCCATCAGTTTTTAACCATGAATGTAGTGGTCATCACCATCTGAATCTGGGGGATGTGAACCCCGACCTGCAACTCATCGCCATCTCTGAGCTCGGCGACATCTTCGTCATCGGCAATCTGGGCTCAACGGCCACCCCGTTTCGGAAAGCCAGATCGAATTCAATGAGAAATGATTGAAATGAAGATTTCCTATCCCATAGGATCCATGTATGGTATATATGCTAACATTGGGGGTATATTGATGGTAAATGTTACCATATATATCCATATATAGCATACATGGATCCTATGGGTATAGATGTTCTACAAGAAAATCCAATGGTTTGTTTTGTTTAGACTGTTTAGGATCAATTCCACAATTGATGGATCCTAAAATCATATAAATTTGCAAGTCTTTGGGCTATTCCAAAAATCCAATGGTTGACCTAAACATGTCTAGATGGCTATGGGCCAAAAATTAGATACCCCTAAATTTGGATGGTTATGATGGTTAATACATGTTACCCTCTGGTAATTTAACAGTTCGCTATTGAAAAAATGGCCATTTCGTTCGCTGATTTACCTGTTAAAAATGGTCCTTTTCCATAGTTATTTTGTTAGTTTACCAGAGGGTAATATTAACATATATTAACCATAATCTGATATGTATGAGACATATAAGTAGATACCTCATCTAAAATAGATACCCCTAAAAAATAAAATACCTTTGGAAGTAGATACCACATATAAGTTTCTAGAAATACAGTACTTTTTGGATGGTTATGATAGTTCATATATCCTAAGTATCTAGTTAACCGTCATATATCATTTTTTGATAATGGATATAATAAATATCTAGTATGATGGTTAATATGATGGTTAATACTAGACATATTTCATATGTCCTAAGCCATCTGTGGTCCCGGCCCTGCCTGCAATCGATCCTCTGTGCGGATCAGCGACACCAAGCGTCGGAGTCCAACCTGTGGTGATGGGCACTGATCATTGGATGAAATGGACCCCTCAGTTTGCAGGAAATTCTGGATGATGTTTAGAACTGATGATTTAGTAGAATTTTGGAAGTAGAAATGATGAGTTACTATGATTTAGTAAATGATTTAGTAGATTTTCCGGTAGAAATAATGTGCTGACGTATTTTAAGCTAGTAGACATGGCAAAAAAAGGTGCCACACTTCGGCCTTGGATGGGCACGGATCGTGACTAGTGCATAATAGGTGTAGTTGACTGAATTTGGAGCTATCTCAACTGGTACTTATCCTAGCTACAACTGGATTCCACACGTGGGTATTGCCCACTGACTGGGACATCAAACATGATAGTCCAACTTGGGGATTTATCTGATGTTCAAGCCTCGCAGAGGGTGCCGCTTGCAAATGGAGCGATACATACCCCAAAAGAAGCTAGAGAAATATATGATTATATATATATACATATCTTCTATCTTATTGTTAATCCACCCAACATGCGAAAAAAACACATTCAACGAAAACGGGTGTCACGTCTACAGATAGATGGATTTCCATGGGATTTCACGCCAAGATGACCTATTTGGGTACCCAAATGGGTAAATGAAGCTCCAAGGAATGGGGAAGTTGAATGGACAAGCATTGACATATTCTAAGTATAGTGAATACTTAAATGGCTTTGTGCCAGTTTCTACCCTCAGCACGAGACAAAAAACTACCAGTTCAAAAGGGTGATGTGTCAGGACTGAAAATCCTGGCCTCTCATTGTAGGAAGTAAAAATGTATATAAATTGTTACAAGTACGTTGGCTGCATGGCAGTCCCTGGCAAGCGGAGATTCCAACCAAAAAATAGCCTCATTGGGCAATGAGAGCTGGCAATGAAACCCAGCAGGGGCCAATGGGGTTTGAGGTGGCATCAGCAGCACTAAATGTATCTAAATGTGGCTTCATCTTTTCCCTGCGCTTGGTGTATATCCTCAAGCCATCTGACCTGGAAAACGAACTCCCAAAGTCGCGAGATCGGAGCCGGTGACGTTTGTCTCGACAAACGTTCGAAGTGATTGCCAGACCCATACACATTATAACATATTATAACCCATTAATAGGTATGGTGTTAACCCATTATTGTATTATAACCCATTAATTAATATTGCCAATAGTCCAGCGGTTTGTCATCAGATTTTCCACTAAGTTTGGTGTTATTTTGGGTTTGTTTAGCACTGGAAGTATATTAACACCATTCTCAGACACAGCCGTATAGATATTGTTTGTTATATACCACTATATCTCCATTAAATACCCATTAAAGCCATTGAATCGTCATTTTTGATGGTTAAACCCCATTAAATCATATCTGGGTGGTGGTTTCAACCCCTTTGAAAAATATGAGTCGGTTGGGAAGGATTATCCCATATATGAAATGGAAAATAACAAATGTTCCAAACCACCAAGCAGATATTAAATCACCATGTTTCCCAGTTAAATCCCAATAAATCATGTGTGTTTTTCCGATCAAACGACGAGGAGGCAACTCCAGGGTCAGGACTGCGCGGACTTCGTACTGGGGGGCCGCCGAGGGGAACTGAGGAAGTCTTCCAGTTCCGGAGAAGCAGAACCCCCTTGCTGATGGTCATAGATATGGTTAACAGTAGTCAATAATAGCTAATAATACTTATATGATCATTGACATAATAGTTAATATAGTTAATAATTGTTAATGATGAGAATAGCTGATAATACTTATATGATCTTATATGAGCGATTGTGAAAACCCTAGGTTCACGGAAAGGACATCCACAAATTTGGGAAGGTCCCATCGCTTACCACACGTTTGTACAATAATGATATATGGTAAACTTGGGGGGTATCGCTTGCAGGAAACTGCTGCATTTATATATATATATATGTATATATGTGATGAACTATGAATAATATGTGATATTTGGGTATCGCTAATGTGGATATTAGAGAAATATGATGACATAACCTTGAAAAGGGGTATCTCGTGTTTTTAACAATTTCCATCAATTTCCATAAACCAATGTCCGTCGAATACATATTTAGTATTGCCGGGGTTTTTACGGTTGCTCATATATCATTGACATAAATAATAGTTAATAATTGTTAATGAGTAGCAATAGACAGTAATTGTTAATCATGTGGTTAATAAACTGAATAATCAACTATTGATAGGGATGTCTAATCAATCATGAATGGTGATAAATAACTAATTGCCGATGATCACTGGTTCATGACTAACTAATAGTGTTTGTATACTAATTAGCATTAATTAGCTAATTCATATTGGTTCATGACTACTGTAGTTAATAACGGTTAATAATCGTTAATGATAGCTAAGTGGTTGATAAACCAATGACTAATAGTGGTTAATAAA